GCCATTCGGTTTATCTCTCGCTCTCAATTTTTTTTTTTCTCTCTCACTTAAGGCCAGACTGACCAAACAATATCTGACTCTCCATAGGAAAAATCTAGGAAATCGAAAAACTGAACTTCCAAACAGGATATATAGAATTCGTTCAGTTTTGAACATTATAAGATTGGAATACGAAACTTCATCAGACTTATATCTACCTCTTTCTACAGTCTCTCTTGTATAATAATAAAATGTCTATCCATCTACTTTTATTTTCCCTTTCTTCCTCTAACACCCGCTTCCACTGGCGAACCGTCAAAGGGGTAAGTGAGCAGATCGAAGATTAAGTGGCCGTGCACCAACAGGACCGAAGAGCAACGTGCAACCGGGAAGAGTAACTATAATGATCAATGAAACTGGTTTCGAAACCCATGATCATATCCTCTCAATAGGAATTCGAATGCAGTTTCTACCTACTGTATATACTTTGGCATTAATCGATAAAAAAAGAAATAGACTTGTTGGATTAAAATATTCAAGCTGGTCCCGAGAACAAAAATATGTTGGCAGAAAATAAGCAGAAAAATCTCGAGACATTAGGCAAGAATTTAGAAATGAAGGAAAGGGCAAAGTGCAGATGAGACAATATATGGAGAAATAGGGGTAATAAACTATAAAAGAGGAAAGTGTTTTCGTGATTGTGATGGAAATTTTGCAGTCGTGATTTCTTAAAACAAGAGGGATAAGACGAAAAGGAAGGCAGATATATCGACATACTGAGATTGATCGATAGATAGGAAAGAGAGTAGATATATAGAAATTGTTAAATAGATAGGCAGATAGATTCAGAAACTAAGAAATTGAGAGGTATGTGTATATAAATATATATATACACATATATTTAGTTAGATGTCTATATACATACAGATGTATCTATATTTGTAAATATATTTATACATATATGTACACATACATTTATGTATATATATACATATGTATATGCACGCACGCACGCACAAACACACACACATATATACATACACATACATACACACATATACATACACATATATACACATACACATATATACATACACATACATACACACATATACATACACATATATACACATACACATATATATACATACACATATATATATATATACATACACATATATATATATACATAGACACATATATATATATACATATAAATATATATACACATACACATATATATATAAACATACACACACATATATATATACATATATATATATACACATATATATATATATATACATACACATATATACTTACATATATATATACTTACACATATATATATATTTACACATATGTATACTTACACATATGTATACTTACACATATGTATACTTACACATATATATATACATATACATATATACACACACATATACATATACATACACATATATATATACATATATACATACACATATATATACATATATACTTACACATATATATACATATATACATACACATATATATACATATACATATATACATATACATATAGAGAGGAGGGGGGAAGAAAGTGAGTTATATATATATGTGAATGTGTGTGTGTGTATAAAGAAAGAGAGAGAGGAAGAAAGAGAAAGAAAGAGAGAAAGAGAGAGAAAGAGATATAAAGAGAAAGAGAGAGAGAAGGTGAATTGGTTCGAAATTCCTTAACCAGTAACTGTCATTGCTGCACACGACACGCAGTGGAATCCCTTATCTGTCGCCTATATAAGCGTAAAGCGTTGCCTGTCGATTCAGAACTGAGTTTCAGAGTAACTTGACAGTGTGCAGTGTTGATACAACTTCAAAATGCCTGATCCTTGCTGTAACGGTAAGAAAGTTTGTTAATATTCTTTCTCTAAAGTTGTGAAGTATATATTTCTTATTTCAGACTTTACCAGAAATTCCATAACAGAAATGTTTAATCTTTCGCATGGTGATCAGTGTTATTATGAATTTACTGTTGATTCTATCATTTTTCTTTTCAGAGAAATGCGTTTGTGCCGAGGGTGTCTGCACGAAGAGCTGCAAGTGCACAAGCTGCAAATGTAAGTATGAGGACCTCTTTTTTTTTTTTTTTTTTTTTTTTCTTATTTTAGATCATTTCGTATCTGTAAAAGATGCATCTTTTGCAGATCACCCCAATGCGAAAAGGCAGTCTACAGATTGAATTTTTGCGTTTATTAGAAAATAATTTAATATAAGCTGTAAAAGGTCGATCTTTTATAAAACGACCCAATGCCGACGGGCATGACCAGTACGTACATGCCATGCCCACTGAGTTTACTTGTTTAATTGTTTTACACTTGATGGCTGTACTGGTACTAAATCGCCATGAGCCAGTTATGAGTACTGCCAGTCTCGCCCGTTTACCCCTTTTCCTTGATTTACGAAACCTTAATCTCATCTTGCTGATACTTTGTTATAAACATTGATTAAAACTTTTATGATAAATTATAACCAATTG